CGTCATATTCTATTAATTGCATGGTTAGTTGATCAAATCTTGGTCTTGCGGTGAAACTAGGTGTCTGCTTAGTATCGGCTTTTCATGTCTACTCTCTTTCTATCCTTCCTCTACTTTGTACTATTCTGCATCACACGAAAATATGGAACCGGAAGAATATGATTCAAATAATGTCGAGTCCAGGGTGTTACTTTAAATGTGCTTCCCGGAGGTTGGTTGGCTATGTCAGTTTTGTTATCACTTTTCAAAGCTAAATAGGTCGGTGGTAGGTTTCGCTTGTCAAAGGACTTCTTCGTCAATTCAACCTCCCTTATGTGTAGTAGTATGGTTGCACTGTCGAATTAACGAGAAGCGATGCGTGTAGAATCATATCCTTCACCAAAAGTTGCCGATTGATTTAACTATGGCTATGACAGGAGTAATTGAATTGTGTACTTTAGTTTATGACGCAAAAATCTGTCACGACAAGCCTGAGGGTACTTGTTCCTTACATGTAGCCTACGGCTAACCCTTCCAACTCTGTGAGGGGTTCGTATGCAAGCTGTAGAAACTTCAAACCTTCCAATTTTACGGTTTTCTTTGGAATACTCACTACATTTCGAAGTCTGACCCGAATTATTGACTCCAGTCTGCAGATGACTTACCTTTGTCGCAAAATGATTTTTTGCACGTGGTGCAGAGCACACGTTTTTTGCTTCGGTTTGCCATAGTGAGACCAAGTGGAAGTCCTCGACCTGCCGAGGTCTTCGTGGGCACCTCCTGTCCACTTGTCTTGCGGAAAGATTGGCCGCAGTAGGTGAGGGGCAGAGCCGAGACGTCAGTCGGCCTTTTAGTCGTAGAACGTCGAACACCGCCCACTGTAGGACCGCGAGTCTTGAAGGAGTTCATGCTCTTTCCGTACTCCGACTTGGCGTCCGTGTGTAGGCCAGAGGTGTTGGCGGGACTCATGCGGCGAGGCAGTCCGGAAAGATCGGAAGCCTCCTTTGATGAAGTATACCTCTCCCGATGGCCAACATT